ATGAGAATGAAGTGACATCGAATTCCCATCATTGTTTTTCTTTTTGAAAATTGTTTTGACTTCACTAATATTCTATGCATTTCTTTTCTATTTATTTCTTTAAGTGCTCGGGTGTAAAAATTTGCACCTACACCAACCTTTGGAGTAATAGAGGTGAAGTTTCACTGGTGTTCAAGGCTAAAGGAGGAGCAATCCAATTCACTATTATTCTCAGAGTGTTAATGATTAATCAATCGCCAAAAAGGTATGAGATCATTTTCAATAGTTCTTGATTTGGCGAAATATCACGTAGTTACAATCTAGAAATTTTTTAAATCGCTTCCGTTTTTCCTTCACTTAGTACGCCCGATACACTGTGCACATGCCGGCACGAGCCCAGCACACCGGGTGCACCAAATATCTACTTGAAAGGAAGGAGTTAGAGCTTGGGTAAAAAATAAGGTAAATTACACTGACACCCCTTCAAGTTAGGTCAAATATCACATAAACAAACATTTTGGTTTTAATTTGTACTCTCAGTTTAAAAAGTGGATTCGTATTTCACTTACACCCTAAAAGTTATTTTTAAGTTGTGTCAGAGCACTTTTTGTATGTAAAATGACACGATTACCGTTTTGACTTTCTGTTGACTTTAATTCATGTATAAAATGACTTCATTACCCCCAAGAGAACCTTTTTCTCTCTCTCCCAAAAAAAATAAAAAAAATGTAATGTTTTTTATCTCCCTATAACATATACATACAGAGAGAGATGTCCTATATATGAATGCTTGAAACCCATGTTCTGTAAAATCTCATATATGGTTAGCAGTCCTCATATATATATATATATATATATATATATATATATATAGGATGCATACACTGACACCCTTTCCTCACCGAATGTCCCATATTTGGATGCTTGAAAGTTGAAACCCATATTCCGTATATATATATATATAGGATACATATACTGACATCCTTTCCTCACCGAATGTCCCATATATGGATGCTTGAAAGTTGAAACCCATATTCCATAAAACCCAAATCCATCTATTTATTTGTATATACACATGTTATATATATGTATTCTCAAAAAAAAAAAAAAAAAAAAAAAAAAAAAAAAAAAGGGCTAAATTGGGTTTCAAGTTTCAACATTCTTGGTTTACACCCTTATATATTGTGTGCGATGATGTGTCTTGGGTTTGTATTTATTTATTTATAAATTTTTTGAGAAATTAAAGTGCTATATATACAGATATATATCTTCTATACAAGTACAAAATGGATATTCTCGAAACCCATTTATAGATGCTCTTGAAACCCATATTTGTAAGGCCATCTACACCAGCCTCTCCGGATTTTGGCTCTCTAAAAACGCCACCTCAGCTTTTCCAAGAGCCACATCAGCAATTCCAAGAGCCACGTCAGCAGTTTTCGCTCTCCAGAAACATGCACTCCATCAGGCTTTCTGAATTTTCGCTCTCCAAAAAAAATAATAATAAAAAATTAATATTAATATTTTTTTTTTTAACTTTTCCTAAACGGCTATATTTGCTCAACAGCAATATTTTTCAATCGAACAATATTTTTGTAAATTATTAAAAAAAAAAACTACGATTGATATTAGAACTTGAAACAGTACATTATCCATTATGGATTAAAATAAAAAAAAATTAAAAATATCAATTAAAAATAACTTAAACAATACAAAATCCTAAATTAGAATAAGAAAATAAATAGACCAAGGATTACAAAATCCTATAGGAACTTTGGGGCGGACCGTGAATTCAAAGATGCCAATATCTCATTTTGTCGTGCAATAATCCAAGCTTTTCCCGCTTCTATTGGTGCCGAATTTGGATCTGTTAACATAAGCTCCTTCTTTTCAAGTCTCTATTTCTCTTTAATCTCTAGCTACCTTGTCTTCTCTTTCTCCATTTTTCTTACCTCTCGTGCCACTTGGGCATCCTGCATTTTCTCCTGACAACTCTCAAAACGGGTGGTGATATTATTAAATTTCGAAACGAATGAAGTTTGCAATTCATTCACTGAATTAATTTTTGCTCGACGTTGCTTCGCCGCTTTTCTTCCTGTTGGTCTTTGTAGTTGATATTCTTCCACACCGGGTGAATCATTTTCCCCTATGTGTGGTGATTCTTCAGTTGAAGCTCCATTTGTCGTGGCTGCATGACTTGACGGAGTAGATGGTAATGACTGCCCAATAGACTCATTTAAGTCAAAATCAAATCCACTCCTCTTCTTCGGCTCTTTTTTCTTTTTTCCTTTTCCTACTTGTTCGGCACAATGTGAATTCCATTTATTGTTATGCTTCAAGATCTCCCAGTAACTTTCTAACTTAAATTGACCACCTGTTTGGCTATGAAACAGGTCTTTAGCTGCTATCATCTACACGAAAAAAATAACAAAAAATTAAAAACTGACTATTTAAAATATTTACGAGTTATATTTAAACAATAAATAACTCACCATATCATCACTGCTGAAGCCGCTGGGACGATTCATTTCTATGGTAGTCATGCAGCCAGAAAATTTGTTGATTTTTTGTTGGATCACCAACCAACGATTCATCAAAGCTACATCATTTCGCTCAGTTGGAGGAACACCAATATGTTGTATATATTGTTCCAGAATTCACTCCCATAACTTCTTCTTACTTTGGTCTGCCCCCGTAATCGCATCAGAGGTAATGGACAACCACGCTCAACATAAAGCTTCATCTTCAGCCTTGGTCCAATTATTAGGTCGGGTAGCCGGTTGTTTTGACGGGGGTTTTGAGTTACTTGATTGTGGAACACTAGTACCACAATATTGATGAGAAGTTTGGGATAGTTGATAAGAAGGTTGAAATGGTTGATGAGAAAGAAATTGAGAATCTTTTCCATGAAAATTGATATTCTCTTTGGGAAATGGCAAAAACTCATCGTTTGATTGGTTGAATTGGGTGCTGTAATAATATGGATGTCGAGGATCCATGGAATCGAAATGACTTTGAAAATAATATCTAAGATTGAGAAAATTGTAGAAGAAATAAGTTAAATGGTAGATAATAGAGATGTGATGAGTAATGGTAGGAGTTGTGGTATTTATAGAAATTTTAAAAATTTTAATTTAATTTTTTTTTTTTTTTTTTAAATAAAGTTAAAAAATTTGAATTTTTAAACTTTTTTTTAAAATTATAGCCGTTAAGGCACTGTTTGGTACTGAAGAAACAGTGTCTTAACGGCCAAATACTCTATGTGGCCTACTCATTTAAAATTTAAAGCAAAAAAATTAAATAAAAAAAAAAAACCAAATTTTAAGGGGGAAAAAAAAGAAGGTAAAATTTGAATTTTTAAACAATTTTTTTTTAAATTATAGTCGTTAAGGCACTGTTTGGTACTGTAGAAATAGTGTCTTAATGGCCAAATACACTATTTGGCCTACAAATTTAAAATTTAAAGCAAAAAATTAAATTAAAAAAAAAAACCAAAATTTAAGGGAAAAAACAAAAAAAAGGTTTTTTAATATATTTTTGGCCCAATTTTTTTTTTTTTTTTTTTTTTTTTTTGAACAAACAATGCCTAAACAATATGTTTTTTACTTAATGAATTTAATTTTATTTTTTTCCCCAAAAAAATAGCTCTAAATAACCTTTTTTTAGGTTTTTTTTTAAAAAAAAAATATTTGCCAAACAGTGCCTTGGCTACTATTTGTAGTCGTTGCAAGAAGGGCCCAACAGGCAACCAAACAGCGCCGTTTTAATTTAGAAAAAACAAAAAAAAAATATCACAATCGCGGGCCGGCTAGCTAAATACTGTCAGCCGGCCCGCGAGCCTAATATGGGCCCCACCATTATCAAGAGCCCGCTGCACAGACCCAAAGTTGGTTTGGCTTGCGGAAAGGGCCTTCCGTGAGCCCACTGCGGATGGCCTAAAACCCAAATCCCTCTCTTGTTTTTATATAGACATGCTATATATATATATATATATATATATATATATATTTGGACGCTTAGCAAAAACAAAAATCCTAAATTGGATTTTAACACTCCCTCTTGATTTACAACCATATTCCCATATATATCGATCATGTCTTATTTTTTCTCAGGATGCCATATATACACATATATTATATATGTTTAGATACATACTTCATTGGACCAATTAATCTGACCCATGTTACATGGACTCGGATACAGGTATCGAATACAGATGTGTATCCATGAGTTAGACATGTCAAATCTTTAAACAGAAGAACATAACTAAATATTTATTTTATTAATTACTTTATTTTTTTTTAGAATAAAGTAATATTTTTATCAAATATAATGTTTAATATAGGCATTTAATTTATTTAAAAATAATAATATAATATAATTGAATGATTAATTATAATTTTTAAATACATGTCCAACCAAAAGTGTCGGACACACATCCTATACCCATCTCTGAGTGATATGTGTCCGACACGAGTAGTTCGTTAATTTTTGAAGAGTCCATGTAACAGAACCGGTGACTCACCACTGTTTTCTTCTCTCTCGTTGTGTGTGTGTGTGTATATATATATATATGCGCGCGCGCCTGTATTTCCTATCAATAAGCCTCAAATTGAGGAAGATGGTATGGTTCTATGCCAATATATATATTTTTAATTTCTTCCTCCAACCCCCAAAATCAAACTCTTCTGCCAATTTTCAACCATAGAGAGATAGTGATAGTGGTTGTTGGGGGGTGAGGATCAAACTCTTCTGCCTATTTTCAACCATAGAGAGACAGTGATAGTGGTTGTTGGGGGTGAGGACGGTGGTGGTTGTGGGGATTATGATACTGGTGGTTCCGACCCAACAGTGAAAGAGTCATAGTCTAAATCTGAATATGAGTAGAGGGGTATTTTTGTCATTTAAGTATATATTTTTTGTATTAAAAAAGTAAGGATAAATGGGTCAAATTCGCATGTGTGAGGGCCCAAAAGTAATTTGAAGCAACCTTAAAAATCATAATCAACAGAACCGTCCAATGCACTGGACTGGATGCTGATTCGGGGAAACAAACCCTATTCTATTTTACACCCTGTTCTATTTTAGTATCGTGGGGTCTTACGATCGGGCCCTTGGCAACACCCAAAATCATAGGAAACAACAAACCCTTGTGGGTTTAAACAAGGCAGAAGAACAGATGGAAAGGAAAGAAATAGACGATGATATTGTTTGTTTAGACGAATCATTCTTCATAAATGACAAGTATGTATCTCTCAGTCTTTATATTCATATTCTTTATATTCATATTCAATAAATGGGTTGATTTTGTGCAGCTACGAGCTTACAACGTTTACATTTGGGTCTCAAATTTTTGAGCTCTTCTGTCTCCAATCAGCTTCAAGTGAGTTCCTTCTTTACAATCAGCTTCGATGTTTGATTATAATAATCACAGAAACACAAACCCATTTCCTTTAATTGCATATTGTGTCCTCTGGAACAATTTCATTTGCTTTATGCTCTTACAGTACTTGTTTTCATATTACTGAATTAATCTTAGAACAATATGTATAGAAATTGAGTACATAGTATTTTTAGTCAGTCACTAAAAGGCATTACCCCAGATGGGTATGATATCTTCTCTCCAAAGGGGAGGTCGAGTGTTCGAGCTCTGCTAGGGGCAATTTTGTGGGTGTGTGCAAGTTTGTTTGAAGTCTCTGCAAAAAATAAAATAATTTTCTTAATCAGTCAATTGTATATTTCATTGGTTTATATATATGTGTGATTTTTAATGGGCAGAGATAAATCAGAGTGATTTGTGTAAATTCATTCTCAACAAGTGCTACAGTAAATACAATTATAGACCTAGGTGATTGATTGTGTTGAAAATTCATTGTCAACAAGAGCTACAGAGCATACAATGAGGTGATTGATTGTGTTGAAGGAGTAGTTAGCTTATAGACACTCAACTTTGTGCATGTTTCTGTTTGTTTCCGAGTTTGTTGCCACCCGTGGAAGAATTTCAGCTAGAGTGGAGAATTTGATAGATGTATGAGGATTGCATCTTTCTCGTGTTTTTGCTTCTATCAGACAGCTAAAATCGTAGACTCTAATTTACATAGAATTTGTAGCAGTTGTCGGGAAACAGTTTGTCACGGCTTTTAGGGTTTGGCTAATACAGATGCATATATATATATATATATATATATATATATATTGTTTGAAATTGAATAGAATCTGTGAAGAAGATGAATTTTTACTTATTGTATGAGGTCTTTTTGGTCAAGTAATGCTAAATGTTGTCTATCATATAAAATAATATCTTTTTTGGCTAATTATTTGTGACAGCTGATTTTGATTTGACGGGGCAGATGGTGTGGCCTGGTGCGCTGCTTTTGAATGATTACCTCTCAAAGAATGCTGAGATCCTCCAAGGATGTTCTGTTATAGAATTAGGATCTGGTGTTGGTAAGTGATAATCCAAAGCAATGTATGTGTTTTACATTAAAAGTTTACAGATATTGGAATCCAATCCATTGCGGTTGCCAGGGTCAGCTAACATCAAAATCTATGTTCACAAGCCCAGCCTCTGGCGCATGATCAAAATCTATGTTGCAATCTAGACAGATCTTCTAGATCAATTGATAAACTGCAAACCTACAAAGTTCTGAGAGTAAATGATGCATGTTAGAAGGTGCCAACCTATAGTGTAACAGTAGGGATGGATTTTAGAGCTCTTTTATTCCTCAAAGTTTGTTTATGTCCAGACATTTGTGTTGACAGCTCTAGAAGATAGGATCCTCATATAGGTCAGTAAAATTGCAGAAGGCATGTTTTATTTAGTGATACTCTATATGTCTTGGACTCTTGGATATATGGATGTCTAGTGATCATCTATGGTTCCTTGGTTATGTAGTTTCCAAACTTAAACGCATTAAGGATGTAGCTTTATAGTTTGTGCATCCTTAACTTACTGTTAGATTTCCCCTTGTAATTCCTCTTTCTGAGGAGCTCTTGTGCTCTTTTCTTTCTTCAAAAAGTTATCCACTTAGAGAAAGAAAAGGTCAGTCCAGTTCTCTCTCTATTACAATTTTCTTAATACTATTCATTTTGAGTCCTTGATGATGTAGACTGATGGCTTTGCCTCCCAACGTGTAGGCATTACTGGAATACTCTGCAGTCGATTTTGCCGTGAAGTCGTGTTGACTGACCATAATGAGGAAGTCCTCAAGGCAGGTCAAGGGATTAGATTTAATTTCTTTTTTACTTTTGGTGACTTCTAAACTTAATCATCTCATGTTGTAACTGTTTATTAATCTTTCCTTCAGATCCTGAAGAAAAATATAGAGCTGCATTCATCTTCTGAGAACTCTAATTGCTGTGCTGGTAAAGAAACAAAGTTGCAAAATCTAGATTTACATTTGGATAAGTTGGCATCGTTTTCTGACTCTTTATATGCAGGGTTGATAGCTGAGAAGCTAGAATGGGGAAATTCTGATCAGCTAAACCAAATTTTACAACGGGATTTGAAAGGATTTGATCTCATTCTTGGTGCTGACATTTATATCCTTTTAAAAAAAAAAAAAAAAAATCTTTCAACTAATATGCGTAAATACATAATTTATGAATGTGCAGACATATGCACAGACACATACATTGATGTATCCGTGTTTAATTGTAGTACATCTTCACATGTATATTCAATTGCAAAATGAAGCAAAGTGCATGTAAGCCTGGCTTTCAAGCCTAATTGAAAGCAGAACCTCTTCCTAGAATGATATATAAATAGCTTGGTTTATAATTTAGAAGGGCATCGAACTCCTTTCGAGTGTGGAAGTCATTCCATTTTCCTTTTCATAAAATTGGTGCTTAATTTAATTTGTTATTCCTGACTTATGTACGAGCCTTTCTTATTATTAACAATTTTGATTGGTTGTTCTTTCATTATTATTTGAAATCAATTATTCTTTTTTTTTTTTTCCCCTCCCCCCGAAACCTGTTTGTTTTTGTCTTGAAAGTTCATACACTCCCCTTGTTGAACCTTGATTCATCATAGGCTGCCCTGACTGGCCCAAGGCAGTGCATTTCTTTTAAAATGATTTATTTATTTATTTTTATTTATTTATTTATTTATTTTTATTATTATTATTTTTTTTCCCCTAGTTGAAATGATTTGTTTAAGATGTTAGACTTCCGCAGTTTGACTTGTTTTACACACTGCTTTCCTTTTTTTTTTTTTTTTTGGATGATATTAAAACTTCAAAAAAAGAAAAGAAAATTACTAGTAACACAAAAAAGAAAGCCTTGACAATATGTAAGCTTTCAACAGAATAGCGTTCCATTGCTTTTTGATACTGTAAAACAGCTTCTCCATGTTCGGAGGGGAGGGCAGTGCAAATTTATACTAGCCTATGTGTCCAGAGCGAAAACGTAAGTGACTTGTAATTTTTTTTTTTTCTTTCTCTTTCTCTTTCTAATTATCATCATAATTCGTATCAATGTTTATGGAATTGCTTCATTTTTAGAGTAATAATACTAACTTTAAGAAATTTCCTTGAAATTTTGTATTCTTTGATTGTTGATGATCAATTTTATCGAGAACTCCTATTGACCTAATGCAATTTCCGTATTCATTGTCCAATCACTTATCACATTAAGTATTCTATTTTTTGTTGGTTAAGAAAGTGTAGGATATACACATATATGTTGTTGATCAGATGATTCAGATCTTCAATAGCTGCTCAGACCAAAGACCAATATGAATTTGGTATATGCCCTTATCTAATTGACAGAATATTTGTTGAAATAATTAACTGGGCTTTTATTTGAATATTTGACAATTTCTTTTAAATAGTGAAAATCGAGACAATTTGGTTCTTCCCTTTCAGTTTGTTACATTGTTTCGATTCTATTTACTAGTGTGGGGAAGGGATCGTGGATTTAGTTCCAAATTTATGTGTGTATACTCTCGTTTATGCTCTATGTACCCATCTGTAGCTTTTCAGAAATTGTCATTTTGTTGAAAAACAAAGGAGGACCAAATCTGAAATGGTCAACCCTATGAACTGGAGGCCTCCTGCTAATTTGGTTACTTTGCAACAGCAAATATGATTAAATTGATGCTTCAAAAGTATTTGTAATTCGATCATAAACACACAAGATATAACCTTTCGGCTGTTTTTCTGGTAATGCATGGTCTATCTTGTTATGCAGTTACATTGTTATATTTTGTGCAGTATGGATGCAATGGTCGTTAGTGAAGCTCTTGGGCATGGATTACAGATAAAGGAAGTTGCTGGGAGTCGATCCGTTGTTGGCAATCTTGACGGAGTTATATACGAGATAATCCTTCAATAGAAGCATCAAATATTTTTTGATTTTCCAATTAAATTCAGTTTCTTCAATGGAGGACAACGAAGTTTGCATCCCAGAAGTTCTTAGAATGTGACTATTGCAACCTGGAAGTTGGAATGTAATAGCATCAGCTTAAAGACATGCTAAGCATGCACATGAAACAATGCTTCACTGAAATCTGATTTTAGTTATATTCTGAGTATAGTTTGCAAATAATTTAATCAATTTTTTTTTTTTTTTCTTGATGAGCAAATGACTATTTATATAAGATGAAAAATATAACTGTTTGATATATAGCTGTTAGAAATATAGTCATTGGAAAAAAGCTAAAATTTGCCTTGTCAACATTTTTCAAGAGCTGCATCAACATTTCCATAAGTCAAGTTGGAGTTTTGGACTCTCTTAATTTTAGCTATCGCATGCGTTCCAATAGTGTGTTTTCGCTCTCTAAAATAATAATATTTTAATATTTTTAATAATTTTTAAAAAAAATATTTTCCCAACAGCTATACTACAAATGACTTTATTATAAAAAGAAATTAAACAATACAATATCCATTGTGGTTTAAAATAAATTGAAACAAATACAATTTGATATGATTTTTTTCTTTTTTTTAAAAAATAAAAAATACAATGTTCATTATAAAATCAACTAGGAAAAAAGATTCCTATGGGAAGCTTGAGTTATAGCGTGAACATATAGATTTTAATATCTCGTTTTGGCGTTCAATAAGCCATGCTTTCCATGCTATTGTTGGCATCGATTTTTGATCTCTTTGCATGATTGACATCTCTTTAGCTCTTTTTTATTATTATTTTAAAGCTCTATTTGTCTGGTCTTTTCTTTTTCTGCTTTGCGTGCCTCTCGTGCTGTTTGGGCAGCCACAAGACTTTGAGATTGAGAATGATATAGGGTTGTTGCATCATCGAATTTGTTATCGAATTCATTCTGTAATTAGCCAGAAGTTTTATCCTTATTTTGGCTCTGCTTCCGTGTTTTTCATCCTTGTGGTCATTGTAATGGTTTACATTCTTCAACATCGAGCCAATCATTTTCGCCTATGTGTGTGTTGATCCTTCAACCGAACTTGGTGTCGTTGCTACATTTACTTGATGGAGTAGATGGGTTTAAGTAACTGATAGGCTCATTATCATCAATGTGGATTCCACTCCTTTTCTTTTGCTGATGTTTCTTTTGGTTTTTCCTTACTAAACCGATATAATGTGAATGTCATTTATTATTGTACTTCAAAACAACTGTCTAACTTAAATTGGGTGCAAGTTTGACTAGAGAATAGTTCTTTAGTTACTATTATCTAAACAAAAAAAAAAAAAAAAAAAAAAATTAATAATTATTAGAAGGAAAATGTTTAAAATATTTACAAGATAAATTTAATACAGTAAAGAACTTACCTAGTATTCATTGTTTTGCCCACTAGTCGAATTCCTTTCGATCTATACCATACATTTAGAAAATTTTATTCAACAAAGCGTTACTATTTCATTTAGGTGTACCAGCACCACTATTATGTTTCTCAAAATTTTCGTGAATTCTGATCCATAACGCTAGGTTTTGTTGGTCTAAATCGATTACTGTATCAAAGCCAAAGGTCATCCACGCATAACATAAAGCCTTATCTTAACGTGTGGACCAGTTCGGAGGCTGGTTAACCTTTTACTTTCTTGAAGGTTGGGAGTTACTCGATTGTGACACTTCAGTACCAATGTTGAAAAATCAGAATGCTTGGTGAGATGGAAATTGGGATTCTCCTCCATAAAATTGGTTGAAGGGCTCAAAACCATCATTTGATTGGTTGACTTGGGAGTTGTAGTTATAATATGAGGGTGGTCCGGGTGGAGGATCCTAGATTCAACTTGAGTATTAAAAATATAGCTAAGATTGAGAAAATGACTTGGGAGTTATAGTTGTAGGTTGAAGGAGTTGATAATATAGATAGGTTGGATGTAAGGTAAATGATGGTACGATTGACGTATTTATAGGGGTGAAAAGAAAGACCAAAAAAAAAACCTTTTTGGGCCAAACAGTGCCTAGCATAATGACTCTTTGCTTCAATTTTGTTGAGGGAAAAAAATTAAATAAAAAAGGCCAAGAAACTTAATTTTGGTTTTTTTTTTTTTTAAGGCAAACAGGACTTTAGAAACATATCTGGGATGCTACAAAGCCCTTTTTTTTTTTTTTTTTTTTGTATATATAAAAGAAATAATAATACGGGCATTGTGGATAGCGAAATGAGTCGCCAAAAAGGGTGACCCATAGCGATTCTAAATTGGCGTCTCAATTTTGGGGACGAGCGGATTGGGTCACCAAATTGAGCGGATCTCGCCAAAATACAGACCATTGGACCTGCTCTTAAGAGTCAAATTTTACTCCATCCGCATAATTACAAGAAAGACCATAACATTCTATATATATATATATATATATATATATATATATTTGGATTAAATTGATCTATTTTAAAATAAAAAAATGGTAAGAAACTCTACATACATTTAATTGTAGAAAATAGATACAGATTATATTAGAACACTTCCCATGGAGTTAAAATGATTTTCATGTGCCTAATAAGGTAGCAAGGAAACTTCCTTTTTAAAAAAAGGGGGAAATTTTTTTTGTCTAGTACATGTTTTCTACTTATTTCCATTAATTCATGAACGTGGACAACAATGACATGGCATTTGCTTGAATTTCATCCACAAACCAAGTTAATTTGTTAAAAAAAATTAATAGTTGCCAAATTTAGTAATTTGTAATTTGACCAAAATTTCAAATTTCAGTCATAAATATTATTAATTGCACTCTCCTCAAATTTTCAAATTACATAATAATCTAACCTACAAAATATCAATGCCAAGATTCAAAAAGGTAATCAAATCTTGTGATTGCTGTTTTTTATGGCTAATTATTTATTGTTACACGCTTTTGACCCTATATAACCCTCCTACTACGGAAGTACAACACCACAACTACAGATAACAGAACTCAGTATCACAGGTTTACAGAAATGACGAATGCTAATTTTTTTCTCCTTGCACTTGCCCTCGCCACCATTTTTGATTCCTGTAAGTTTTTGTATTTTTTTTGTTTTTATTTTATAAGTTATTCTTGATTTCCTCTTCTGATATTACATGTGTGTGAACAATATTATAGTGAATGCGTGTTCATTAATTGGTCTGGGTTTCATTATCCTTCAAACATTATAATGAAAAAGTTGATTTTTTTCTTTATCTTTTTTTTTTTTTTTTTTTTTTTTTTGACAATAATTTATATCATAAGTATTACTATTATTATTTTTATCTTGACAATATAGACTTAACTCTGCAGAAAATTGAACTCATTCATTTTTACTTTCTATTATGAAAAAATAATGTTTGATGATCTGTTATGAACTCAAATTTGACTTATATGTACACGGGCGCGCGTCTCACACACACAGATATATATATATATATATAAAGTTATTTATTACAATTTACAAACACATCTTCATGATATTAATCTTATGACAAAATGTTTTTATGCTAAATATAGTCTGTATGGTATTCAAAGAATCCATATTTGGCTTGATAAAGTGCAAGAATTTTGGAATACCAAGAAAAAGTGAGAGCGCTAGATACAGAAAGGAATAACTAATCTCATTAGAAAATTGATAGAGTTAAGAGTTATATTTGGTAATTGAAAAAATTTAAACTAACTTACAAGTACTAATAATGGTTATATATATATATATATATATATATATATATATATATATATATATATATATATATATATGATTAAATGGACACTTCTTTTGTTTACATATATATTTTTAAATTTTATGTGAAGCCTATTCATGCTCATGCATGCAAATTCTATATGGTATTCTTTTGTATTGCAGGGGCTCACTCAGTAACATTTACATTCACAAACAATTGTCCTTACACTATTTGGCCGGGAACCCTTACTGGCGGTGGTGGCACTCAATTATCGTCAACTGGATTCGAGTTAGCATCTAAAGCTTCATCGTCCCTTGATGCGCCAGCCTCATGGTCAGGCAGGTTTTGGGCGCGGGCTTTTTGCTCCATGAACGCTGGTGGAAAGTTCACATGTCAGAGTGGCGACTGTGGCTCTGGCCAGATAAGTTGTAATGGTGCCAGTGCAATCCCACCGGCAACCCTAGTAGAATTAACCCTAGCAGGCTACAATGGACAAGATTTTTATGACATTAGCCTAGTGGATGGCTTCAACTTACCGGTTTCTGTCATCCCAGTAGGCGGATCCAGTAACTGCAACCCCACGACATGCCCGGTCGATGTCAATGCCGAATGTCCGCCAGAACTTGCCTTGAAAAATTTAGATGGTGCCACAATTGGTTGCAAGAGTGCATGCCTAGCATTGAATCAGCCACAATATTGTTGCACCGGGGCTTTTGGCTCACCAGAGACTTGTCCACCCACTGACTATTCAAAGTATTTGAAAGGAAAGTGTCCATTGGCTTATAGTTATGCCTATGATGACAAAACTAGCACTTTTACTTGCACTGGTGGACCTAACTATGCCATTACATTCTGTCCATGAGAAATAGCAGAGTGGAGAGAAATATTTGTTTAGAAAGAATATTTTTGTATGTCCACAGTGTTTTTTTTTTTTTGTTTTTGTTTTGTTTTGTGGGGGGCTTGTAGTTATTCTTTAATGTCAAGTTGTTTTTTTTTTTTTGAAGTATTATGAAAATTATGAATTTTAATTATTGTACCATTACTACAACTTCAACTTGTTCTTTGCTACACTTTTAGCTAAAAACAACTTATTTTATTATGTTTAATATTGCCCCTCAAACGAATTCCTAACTCCGTTACAGCTACCAAAATTAAACAATTTACATTTCTCTTGTGTAAGTGACATATAGATAATGTGTACCGTATATAAATATAAAAATAGAATAAATATGTGGAAGAGATCTGCTGTTACAAGGAATGTTTGTCCCACATTAGATACGGATGAGAAGAGGTATGCATCTCAGACTACGAAGCACCCGCCTTATTACAGTTGATATCAGAGTCAAACTCACCCAGTTCTTGATCCGGTGTTATGCCAAGCGCATGACCCAGAGGTCTTCGCGTATTTTTCTCGAGTAAGCACGGTGGCATAACTGTAATAAGGGCATTTTGAGTTCCTCTCCGGGTAGGCATGGTGGCCTAACCGAGGGTTGTAAGTTTGGGTGGGTAAGAATGTTATAAGGGATATGTCAAGAGGGAGACTTGTCTCCAGGGGCGGCTCAATATAATATGAGGCCTTAGGCCAAAAAAATAAAGTGGCCTTTTAATTAAATCTATCCATATATTTATACCACTAAGATGCTAATTATTTGTTTAGTTATTTTTAAAGCTATCATTAAAATTTTTCGAACTCTAGTTCCTTCATCAATTAATTGGCTATGTGTTTTTTAATAGTCATATTTAACAATATAAATAAATATTAAAAAATATATATATAATTTTATGATTACAAAAATTAATAAAACTATAAACTAATTTAAGTTATAGAATAATAAAAACTGATTTCGAATAATTTGGTCTAATGCTCTAGTAAATTCTTTAATAGAATATAAGTGTATTCAAAATCTTCTTACAGAGTGAGATTGTGAGATTGTAAATTATAAACTCGGATAAGATGGAAAAAAAAAAATTATAATGAGAGAGGAGAAAAAATATGTGAGGAATAAGAAAAAAGAGAAAATAAAAATTAATAGGAGTTTTAGAAAAATATAGAAAGTTTCACCAATTTTCACTTAAATAAATAAATAAATAAATATATATATATATAATATTTAATTTTAATGCATGTGTATATATATGCTGATGTAATGAGGATGAGAGAGAGAGAGAAAAAAAAAGAAAAGAAGATAATACATGGATAGAAATATTTTGGGCACACTATTAAATTTTGTATTTGTTGAGGTTTAATAATAATATAAGAAAATAAAATATTTAGGTAAGTTATAATATATAAAGGAAAAAAATTTGGGGGCCCTAAAAAAAAAAAGATAAAAGAATAGAAATCTTTTAGGTCAATTTTCTCTATAAGTTTAATAATTAAAGGAAATATAATAATTGTTTTAGGAAATTTATAATATATAAAGAAATAAAAAATTATGAGGCCTTCTTATTAGCTGGGGTCTTAGGCAACCGCCTAACTCGCCTAAGGCTCGAGCCGGCCCTGCTTGTCTCACATTAGATTCGGATGTGAAGAAAATGAATCATTGATGGGTTAGGTGTTAGCACCACCTAATAACTTAAGCTTTTGAGCCGGACTGCGAACCACCTAACTCGTTCCATCTGCCCAGTTGACAATATGTGTTCATTGTGCAAATTAACCATCTTATTTAAGGAATTTTGCATCAATATATGAGATTTTAGAATCTATGGTGAGTTATTCTGTTTGTGACGGTTCTCATCCTGTTGCAAACTACTCATCTTATTTAAGGAATTTTGCATCAATATATAAGATTTTAGGATCTATTGCGGATTCTATTTGTCTCAATCATATTCTTAGGCTTATTGTCTTGATTTTGTAATTGGAGACTATGTATACATTTGTGATTGGACCACGTCAGGGTTCAATAGGAATGACCTACTCACCGATGAGTAGGTAAATATTATCCTTTATGTGTGTTTGGTATCAATGATCAACATTGAACACCAAGGAGTACTTTTTTTTGATTGAAAAATAACAATGCAAATTTGTATATTTAAGGACTCTGATGAAGCCTTGCGTCCTGGCTTATATTCCTTAAAGAATGTAACCATTTTTGTTATGTGACAATAAAAAGTAACAATTTATCATTAGCCAAGGTACTATATTCTTAGTATACCCCAAATAATCACTAAATGGAGAGAGTTTTTTTTTTTTTGCCTCTCAATTTAATGTTACAACTCATATTGAAAGAGCTATCCCGATACATGATTAACTATAACGATGCCTAGGTTGGATTAGGTGTATGCAAACTCACAATGCAAGCAAGGTGGCTTGCTTTTCTTCCCCCCCCCCCCCCCCCCCCCCCCCCCCTTTTTTTTTTTTAAAAATAAAAAAATAAATTACCTATTGGATTCTAAGATTGCATTGAATCCCATCATCTCCATGCAATTTCTCTTATTAAAAAGGTCTCAACTAACCTAATAGTCCAGTCTCAATCTTGTTTGTGAGGGTATATCAGCAAAAGTGAGTGGGTATTCATGAATTCAGTTGCGGCTCAACTGTATAGGCCATTGAAGGGCCCCACAGAGAACGTCTCTTGAGATTGTAGGTTCCATGACTCTGGCCCAATGGTGTTACCTCCCAACCTCAATGAAGAGGGAACGTGGGGGATTTGAGTTTGGAGCAAATTTATTAGTGTGCACTAGTTTTCGGAGTTTGGAGCAAATTTATTTTTTTTAGTTTGTACTTTATTTTCATTTTTTATCTTTTATTTTTATCTTTACTTTTCTTTTATACTTTTATTTTTTATTTTTATTTATATTTTTATCTTTACTTGTCCATTAATGGCATCTTCCAATAGTGTCATTTTACGTCATTTTACAAAATTATTTATTTTTATATATTTTATAAAATGATTCAGTAGGATAATTTAGTCAACTTATAGTTTAAATTTATCAGAGGGACCTATTTGCATAAATTTGAAACTTTAGAGGTTTTTTTTGCACGTAAGGGGCATCCTCCAATAGCGTTTTTTTTTATCATTTTACAAAATTATTTATTTTTATATTTTTTATAAAATAGTTTAGTAAGGGTAATATAATCATCTTAGGATTTAAATTTGTCAGAATGATCTATTTGCACTAAATTGAAACTTTAGGGGTGTTTTTTTACATATGAGGGGTGTGATATGCAATACTTCAAAATTTCACTAATGCTATATTCGGTAGGGAAGAAAAAAAAATTGGATGGAAGGGAGAGAAAAAGGGATAGATGAGACATTATGTATTTCCTTTTTTTTGTTCGGTTGGATATAACAGAAGAGAATAAACTTAAAATTTCATTTGTTCGTTAAGAGAGAATGAAAGAGAAAGTTTTAATTGTTTTTACCATTATATCCAATAATATTTATAATATTATAATTTATAAAGGATAGTAATGTAATTTAAAACTTGTATAATTTAGGATACTATTTAATTTAAAACATTTATAACAATCTACTTGTCTTCCTTCCTTCTTCTGCCCATTTTTTAAAATGAAAATTTGTAAAGTAGGAAGAATGAGTTATCCTTTATATTTTCCTTTCTTTCCTTGTATCATTCCCTACCAAACAAAGGAAATATATTGTAACGACCCACTCCACCATATGGTTTGATATTGTCCGCTTTGGGCCTGAGTCCACACAGTTTTACTCTTGGGCTTTACCCCAAAAAGCCTTACAACCAATTGGAGTGACACACCTATATATAAGAACTTCACATTTCCCTTTCCAAGGCGATGTGGGATTGTGCACCCGTGTAGCTCACCAATGTGGTAGCCTGTCAGTGTCTCGCACCTGCCCACGGCACACTCACCCACAGGGTCATCATAATCCACCCCTTTGGAAGCCCGACATCCCTGTCGGCACACTTCCGGCTGGGTCAGGCTCTGATACCATTCTGTAACGACCCATTCCACCACATGGGATGATATTGTCTGCTTTAAGCCTGAGCCCGCACGATTTTACTTTTAGGCTTTACCCCAAAAGGTCTCATACCAATTGGAGTGACACACCTACATATAAACACTTCACCTTTCCCTTTCCCAGGAGATGTGGAATTGTGCACCCGTAACTCGCTAATGTGGTAGCCTGTCAGTGTCTTGCACCCGCCTACGGCACACCCGCCCACAGGGTCATCACAATCCACCCCCCTTAAAGGATAGTAATGTAATTTAAAACTTGTATAATTTAGGATACTATTTAATTTAAAACATTTATAACAGTCCACTTGTCTTCTTTCCTTCTTTCACCAATTTTTGAGAATGAAAATTTATAAAGTAGGAAGAATGAGTCATCCTTTATATTTTCCTTTCTTTCCTTATATCTTTCCCTACTACCTCCCAACTATGCCTGCAAACGTTAATATTTTAAGACACATGTTACGTCCTGTAATTCAAACCACACCACCGGACGAGATCCAGAATGATTAAAAATGAAGAATTCATTCTTCTAGTGAGTACAAAATTAAATGCTATGAAGATAAATATTGACAGAAAAGGACCCCACTTTTTGGACCACCATTCAAACAAGTCCATTTGTGTGGCTACAAAGTATGCAGGTGGAAATCCTTTCATATTTTTCGATGGTTCCAGAGCATGGCGTTAAGATGTATCCCATTATACCACTGATTCGTTGATATGTATTTATATTTGTGAATGGTTTTTCATTTATTTCCATTATCTCAATCATTCCAACAATACATGAAAAATCATATTATTATTACTCTCTTTATACTAAAAATTACTTTCTCTGTCTCATAATAAGTGTAGGAACCGCGACTCAAAAAAAAAAAAAAAAACCAAGACAACATTGCATTTCTAGATTTAAACTAAAGAATACAAGAATGATTGCCATCAATTTAATATTCTTATTTAGTCGACAACTGTTAAATAATATTAATTTTGTTTTGATAATTTTTGTTCTATCAGTTACGGTGGTGATATTAATTGCAATCGTAGTGTAACGAACTCAGATAAAGTCAGTGTAAATTGATCAATACGAATCACATATCAAACTTAAAAAAAGATTATCGAATGATACGCATGAACCACCTTATCTTAATACAAGAATAAGAACAAATAATTTATCTTAA